CAAACAAGCCCTATTCACCAGACCTGGTTGATAATTGGTATTATATGAGCAATCAGGTCTGATTTAAAATCGGTGAATAAGATGCGTGCTCAGGTCTTGATTAGGGCAAATACGAATTGTTACATCAATAGTGACTGCGACAAATCCTCAAGCTATGCATGATCCTACACGAGGAAAAAACGAACCTTGACATTGTCAATCAACCAGTGCCCGTGCACAAATAATTTCTCCGGCAAAGGAAGTTCCATGGCTATTAGAAAGGCTGGCCAGTAAAAAGTATGAAATCTGAAAGCTGTTATACACTATTCCACGTCAAAAAGGTTGCTACGCACATTACGATATCACCTAATCAGTAAGCCTCACTTTAATATGTCTTTCCCAAGGATTTGCCATGAAGGTGGCCATGCCTTCAGTGTACCAGGATAGCCAACGACAGAGAGGTAGTTCATCAAAGCATCCATCCAAACATAAATCTGGAAGTGTCAAGTAAGTCCAGAGTTTTGTGATTACATGATTAGATGCTACTTACAGTCTGAGAGTTGTCTCCTGGAACCGGAATACCCCATGGAAGCCTTGACCGATCACGAGATATTGACAAATCGCCTTCGTATTCGAGATAGTGCAATGCATGTGGCAGATAATGCTTTGGTTGGATGACGTCTATAAGACTAATTCAATTCAACAAGTTTACCGCCATTATTTTCAAAACAGTGGCTCTTTGTAAATGAGCTCAACAATGTGTTTCATAGCTAACAATTCGCTTATTATTTAGCAGCTGTATGCTATCTTTCCGTGGGCATTCTTAGGATCACCTCTTATTTCCTCACGGCAAGGCTCTCCCTAAGCTTATGCTCAGGCACAAGTTTAATCTAATCCTAACGATAAGCCTAAATCTAAGAATAGGCTACAATCATAGCAAAGGTCTCCCGAAGCTGGTGAAATAACCTGACCGGAATAATTGAATGCCTGCCTCCTTTCGTTTGAGCAGAAAGGGGGTATCACTATTAATGTTTCGTTTTTTCAAACAGGACCTCCCAAGAAAAGGATATATTTGTAGGCTACGGAAGTGTGTGAAAAAGGAATGCGATGACAATGAAGGAATTGTTCCATAAAACGCAATTTTGAAGGGGTTTCATTTCGAATACCCCACATGGAAAAATAGCATACGTTTCTAGCATTTTCATTAAGTGCTCCTGATCCTGAGCTGAAATTCCTCATAGAAACACCTGGGCCAACATTTTTTGTTTTCGTCTACCACGATTTACGTATCAACTCGTGTTATTTATGTAATCCTTATCATCACTTATCATAATGAACTAACGTGATTCTAGAAGCCACCGCCTCACTTCTTCTTTCAAACACGATAACCGGAACATATAGTTGTCTTCTTCGACCCATTCAACGAGATGGCTTGTGCCTTTCACTACCTAAACAACCTTATTCATGAGCAAATGAAAGGTGGGCATGCTTCCAAGACTTTTCGTGATTACCAGAGAACCACATCCAAAGGCAAAAGCCAATTAGGTTATTGCCTAAACTGTACCTTCGATCCCGATAACTGGAAGGACAACCTAGATTGATCCAGCACCACAACGAGACAACAAAAAGTCGCGGAGAATTACAGATAATTATTCTCTTACAATGATCCTTGTCATAAAACAAAACCAAACCTTTCCTATTGGCGAATCTTCAACTTCGCTTTCAGAGAAGAAACATTCGTCCACAGCGCTATACCAATTTGAGTAGACATCTTTGTAAATGAAATCTCTATCATAGAGTCTCTTCTGAATTTGGATAAATGAACTCCTGAGAATAAAAATTCCTAGTTGGCCACCACGAACTCACCCAAACATATTCCACACACCGCTTGTGACGATCCTCTGTAGTACGAATAAAATCTGTGGTCTCGATCCCAAATGTATCGAAAAGATTGCGAAAACTCTTGGAACTTTCATCACAGAACTTCAAAGGATCCTTCTGCGCCTTCTGAGCAGCACGAAAAATCTAAAAGAATAGGCAAGAGTTGAGCGTCTTTAACTCTTTGTCAGAATGCATCTATTAAATTTCTTATCGTTGTAAAAGTGAAAAAACTCGGATTTTTTTCAGATCGCGGAAAATCGTGGGTTTATTCCAATAATTGAGCATATAGCAGTTCATGTTACACAGATACTCCAATTTTCGCAAGGAAGGATTTCCGGGCTGGTTTAATATTTCGCCGCTTTGCCAACACCCGTGGCCTCCTCCCTTACGAGAAGTGGATTACTGCACGTGGGGAGACGGTCAATTCAATCGTCGGCTAATGAGGTCACGCCGCTCACGCGGCGAGAGCGTCGCGCGCGGCAGTTGGTGCGGCGATTTTTGTGTGGGCCTTGGCTTATTGTCCATAAGTTGCTGGTGGGGTTAGAGAACTGATAAGACCAAGTTCCAGACATCAGTGAGCCAACAAGAGTCACCTTAAGATCTCCGCAGTTATTTAAGCCTCACTGTACAGAGCTTGTGCCATGTAAAGGTTGTCCTTTTGAATAATTTGACTTCTTTATTAATCAACTGCCTGAATTGTTATCAGAGAGCGATAATCTGGCTAATCGGAAAAATATTACGTTCCAAGACGCAGTGGAACGGTGAGGAAGGCATAACATCAGTATGACAGAATAAGTTTGTAAATAATGGCAAAGGACAAGGAACCTGTATTTTAAGGGGCAGGTGATCATATACCGTGTTTCACGACTGGAAACTTCATCTAATCCTACATTCCCCAATGCTAGAACCCTAAATTCTAGCCACGGCCGACGTCGCATCGCGGGCTGCGGCGGCTGGCGCGGCGACCTAGCCAGCTCAACGATTGAATCGTCACGCACCCCTGCACGCGGCACGGACTGTGGCACCATACGCCCCCTTCATCCGTTGAAATAGATCCCAAAATATAATGAAGTAGATGAGAAATCACCTTGATTCCATGTTCGTCAGTACCTGAGACGAAGGTATGAACGCCATCTGGATCTTTCAACTTCTGCCAACGATTAGCAGCGTCAGACAGCACAGCAGTGTAGAGATGACCAATGTGGGGCGCTAAATGTAGAGCTCTGCTATTCGCAAAGTCAGCGCAGTAGCGGTTGACGGACTACTTAAACTCAGCCCTTTACCGCCTCTGCGCTCTCTAGCGGGCCCTCTCTCTCCTTGAAGCTTACCAGGAAGGTCTTTCAGGGCGTGACAAGCTTTTTGAAAACGGTCTTTTGCATGATATAGGGGCAGATGCGGGAACCACAGAACCATGTTCAATTTTTCCTGAACGGCCCTCTGAATACCAGAAAAGGAGGTCCCTAGTTCGATTCCTCGTGGTAACAAATTTTTGCATTTCGAGTTGACGTGCCAAAATTCGCGCAAAATGGAGTTAGAACCAACCAGAACAATCAGAACTCCATTTTGCGCGAATTTTGGAACGTCAACTCGAAATGCAAAAATTTGTCACCAAGAGGAATCGAACTAGGGACCCCTTTTCTGGTATTCAGAGGGCCGTTCAGGAAAAATTAAACATGGTTCTGTGGTTCCCGCATCTGCCCCTATATCATGCAAAAGACCGTTTTCAAAAAGCTCGTCACGCCCTGAAAGACCTTCCTGGTTAGTCCTAGAGCATTCTCTAATCATCTGTGCTCTAGTCATCGCGGCAGGACCATTGAGGAAAAATCAAGTAGTCCGTAAACCGTGCAGTAGCATACCAGAGCGCTACAAAAAATTACCAGCATTGGCGTAGAAGATTGGTGTTGTGATATAGGAATTCCTCCTTCTAGACAACAGAAACAGTGCTCGCGGTGATCTCATCCAACTCTAATATTTTTGAAACATAGCTATACTAAATATTGAATAAAAACAATAGTGGGAACCACAGAAAGTGAAAGATTGTGAACAGAACGAAATGTTGCCAACGAATTCATTAGGCACATATATGGGCAACCACAAACACTCAAAAACGTGAAGTTTTGAACGAGTTTGAGTGAACGTGAATTCGAGGACGTACGTAATAATCATCAGTGAAATGTCCAAAGCGCGATTGCTCATAGGTGTACAATGGTCTGGCAACGCATCATCATATTCCTAATTGAACAATAAATTCACGACAAATACGTTCGGAGGTTAAAGGTTATGGGTGTCCCTTCCTGAAGCTCTTCATATCATGTCAAGAAACCAGTTTCGTCCGAGTTTTGTGAAATCATAGCAACTTGCAACAGAAGCACGTCCAAATAGAACCATTGCCACAGAAGCTGCAAAGATGAAAAACACTAGTAAAGCTTAAATGACTGAAGTAAATTTTGCCTTGTAGTAGGTGTGAGCTTGCAATGCAAAGTAGATTGGCGACGAATGCCACCAAGCATGAACAAGAACTATTCAAAACTTGCCATGCACAGAACAGGGTCGACGGACTACTTGAACTCGGTCCCTTGAGCCGCCTCAATTTGATGCTCTCGTCTGCGCTCTCTCGCCTTATCAGCGGCTCATGACCACTGTGATCTCACACATTCAAACTTTTGCCACACTTTCTCACCTCAAACTCCCCCTCCTACAAGGCTTAGTCCTTAGGTTCCCACTTTCCTGCTTAAGATGGAGCCGAGTCAGGCACCGTTCTCAATTGTCTGTGTCCTCCGCCATTCGGGGCAGGATCATAGAAAAGAGATAGAACAGCCAGACAAGAAAAAGGCAATCATACAATTTCGGGAAGCCGCCTTAA